AGATTAGGTGATTAAAAAACTATGGTACATTTACATAATGGAATACTATGCCGCTATAAAAAAGAAGGAACTTTTACCATGTGCAACAATATGGATGGAACTGGAGAGCATTATTCTAAGCGAAATAAGTCAGTTGGAGAAGATAAATATCACATGATCTCACTCATATGTAGAATATAATGATTAACATAATTTGATGAACAAGAATAGATCCAGAGACAAATGTGGGGGTGGGGGGCAGTTAGAGATCAACCAAAGGACTTGTATGCATGCATATTAGCATAAAACCAATGGACACAGACACTGGGGAACATTAAACAATAAATAAATAAAAATAATTTTTTAAAAAAAGGAAGAAGAAGACAGAAGAGCAGGTCAGAGAAACTGTACCATGAAAAGGACTGACCCACCATTTCAGTTTTGAATACAGAGAAGGAAACCGCAGAACAAGGAAAGGAAAGGAATTCTCCCATAGAGCCTCCAGAAGAAACACCTCTCTGCCCACTCCTTACTTTAGCCCCAGTGAAACCCAGAGTGAACTTCTAACCTACAAAACTACAGAATGATATATTTAAGTTGTGGTAAGTTGTTGGGGCAGCAATAGAAAAGTAATACACAGAGCACACCTAGCTTATTTGCAGGAAAACAAACTGAGCACACTGGAACCCAGCTCCTGATTTGAAATTGCAGCTATACTACTTGTCAGCGCAGTCACCTTAAACCATCTAGTAACCCTCCCTAAGCCTCCGTGTTCTCATCTGTAAAATGAGGCTAGTAGTACAGTAAGTCCTCACACTTCATGTCTTTGGTAGATTGGTAGACTTCAAGCAAAACAATGTATAACAAAACCAATTTTACCATAGGCTAACTAATATACTAGTAAACAAGAGTTATGTTCTTAAGGCATCTTATCAACATTATAACAAAACAACATTATTCAAAAATCTGCTACAAAACCTATCTTAAAAGACTGTTGAAAAACTAAATGAGTTAATTCATGTAAAGTACTTAAAATATTGGTTCACAGAGAAGGCAGTAAGCACATCTGAACTACTGCTATTATTGGTTTTAATCAAAACAACTACCTTCTTGCCCTAGCCAGTTTGGCTCAGTGGATAGAGTTTCAACCTGCGGACTGAAGGTTCCCAGGTTCGATTTTGGGTCCCTGGCCATGGTTGGAGCGAGTCAGGAGGAAACCAATCGATGTGTCTCTCTCACATCAATATTTCTCTCTCTGTCTCGCCCCCTCTCATCACAGTCAATATAAAAATCAATGGAAAAATATCTGTGGGTGAGGATTAACCAAAATAATAATAATAATAATAATAATAATAACAACAACAACAACAACTATCTTCTTTTTCAGTCACTCAGGGAAAAATCATGAGATCGTCTTCAAAACAGTCAAGGAAATGAGCCCTTCTAAAACTTAAGGTTTAGCCCTACTCAGTTTGGCTCAGTAGACAGAGTGTTGGCCTACAGAGTCCCAGGTTTGATTCCAGTCAAGGGCACATGCCCAGGTTGCAGGCTTGATCCCCAGTAGCAGGTAGGCAGGAGGCAGTGATCAATGATTCTCCCTCATCATTGATGTTTCTATATCTCCCTCTCCCTTCCTTTTTAAAATCAATAAAAATATTTTTTAAAAATAAATAAATAAATAAACATAAACTTTAGGGCTTACACACGTGTCCACAGCAATCTGCCCAATAGTCTCAGCTACACTGAACTAAGAAGTGCGGTTCTTCAAGAGTCATTCCCGATAATTAAGGAAGAGAGCCAAAGTCAAACTGCCAACATGAACTCCACTACATGATCACCACTCACCAGGGCCTGACAAAGTGCCCATCAAAAAGTAAGAGCTGTCTTATTAAAAATAATAGGCACTGCAAAATTAGTTCCTACTGAAATTGTCCATAACTGGCAGTTTTTCAGTTTATTTGGTATTTATACAGCACTTTTTATTTGCAAAACCTGCTCTATCATTTCTTCATAAACAATTAATTTTTTATTTTACTTGGCTATTGACTTGGCCAAATTTTCATAAATTGACATAGCCTAGCTAAGCAATGAGGACTCACACTATTAAAAAAAACAAACAAACATAATGACTGGTAATTTCCACAAAAATTACAGGCAAATACAAATCAAATGTATAGATATATTTTGTTTCATAATTCCACACACTGCAACAGCCCAAAGCAGTGTCAAAAGCCAAAGAGATAACAACACTGTATCAGAAAGAGGGAGAAAACAAAACCTTTGAACACCTGAGTAAGACTTTTGTCAAGTACCATAATAAAAAATCAGTGTGTAAGGTCTTTAAAAAAGAAATTAATAACTAAACAGACTAACATAAAAACCTATTATAAAATAATTTGTAGAGTAAAAGAAATAAACATCAATATTCCAAGCCTAAATAACTCTAAATTTAAATAAATTATATTTTAAAAGGTAACTGAATATGCCCCAGCAAAAATAATATATTAAGCTCTCAAAAAAAATAGTACTTTCAGTTAGTAACACAGAATGTACTGATTAAATTCAAACAATTTTTCTACCTTTTTATTATTTCAAGCTCTATAGGACTACAGAACTAGTCAGAACTATAAAAACTAGTTTTTATCTGAAAAGCCAGTGACAAATGACACTACTATTTTTTTTAATCTTTATTGTTGAAAGTATTACATAAGTCCTCTTTTTTCCCCTATCGATGCCCTCCAACCCATCCACACCCTCCACCCCAGGCTCTCACCATCCTACAGTCTGTGTCCATGGGTTGTGCATATATACATACAAGGTCTTTGGTTGATTACCTCCCACCCACCCAATCCTTCACCTTCCCTCTAAGATTCCGCTCTCTGTTCCATGCGGCCATGTCTCTGGATTCACTCTGATCATCAGTTTAATTTGTTAATTAGATTCCATATATGAGTGAGATCATGTGTTACTATTTCTTTAAAAGGCATTGAGGAAGGCTGTCAAAGGAAGGCACCTGCAGGGCATCCCACAAAAGATATCCAGTCTCTTCTCCCTAACCCAAAGGTGCAATAGCAGAGCAGCTCCTTGCAAAGGCCCACTCTCTGAGGACAGCTGGTCTGAATACTCTGATGGTCAGGTCTGAGCCATACCCAAATTCCCCTAAATCTTTGCATCCAGAGTCAAAGTACACTCTCCCTCCTCCAACTATAAATATAGGCCAAACTGGCTCTCCTTTATCTTATTCAACAGAATTTAGGTAGCCCAAGAAGAAACTGGATATATCCTCAAAGTGTGTGTTGTGTGTGTGTCTGTGTGTGCATATGCATGTGCATGCACACATGAAGTGGGGAGGCCACTGAAAGATACAGGAGTCAAAATACATAACGGGGGTCACACATGCAAAAACCCTCAAGGACCACACAGGGACTGTAATAAATGAGGCAGCTGGGTCAAAGCTAACAGAAGCAATAGAGGTTATAGCAAAAGGATAAGACATCCTCCATAGAAAAGCATTCAAATTCAACCTCAGAAAAACAAGCAATGCCAGTCCAATAAAACACATCCTCAGCTGGATCAGCAGGCAGGCCAGATTGCTAGATAGATGCAGCAGGCCCAGCCAATCCCCTTACATCGTGTTCTCTCTGAGGAAAGCAAAGGGCTCCTCACAGGCCCCAGGGGACTAGCCTCAAGCCCCCCAACCCTGCAAGCTCCCCAGATCTTTGCCAGGAGCTGGAAAATTAAACACTTACCACTTGAGCTTCCAGGTGTCGAATACTGAGAGGTATCAAGAAATTTTCGAGGTGTAGGAAGGTTTGTAACATCAATCAGAGGAATAGGAGAAGCATCTTTCACAAGGGTGCTGGAGGGAAAAGTAGCAGTCGTTACTCACCACTTCCCCCAAAACAACTCAAATCCCACGCGTGCCACCCCTTATCACCTTCTCTCTATTTTGAGCCCTTTTCACTCTGTGACTTCAAATATCTCTCAAGTATATTTCCAGTGAAGTGATGACTGTCACAGACAGGAGTATAACAATGTGCCCTAAAAGTTCCAAGTATGTAAATATTTATTGTCTTTCATTTCTATGCAAAATTTAAAAAATTAATATAAGTATGTTCTGGATCATCTTGATGCCACCTTCGAACCAAATTAAGCCACACAGTTTCAGTACCTTCCTTTGTTTCTGTATTGAAATTAATTTATCAGCAAAGAAAGAGCAACTGATACCTTTTCATGATAACCAAACAAAGGTTTAATTAGTTAAGTCTAGTTTAGTTAGTGTTTTTCAAGCTAAAGTTCTTTGACATACTCTGGGAGTTCACTACTTTTGGTTTTCTTTAAAAGAAGTTCATAAATTTTATCAAGTTGAAAATCACTACAATAAATGATGACTGAAGGAACTTTGAACAGGGTTAATTCGGTATTTATCACCTTTTCCAAAAAGGCCTACCTCCCTCATCTTGATAATTAACTTTAGAGTCTCCAAAATAAACGCATCAAATTTAAATGACACAAAGACTATAAAAATTAAATTTCAAGTTAATTCCCATTTATAGGCATCTGTTAAGTGCAAGAATAAAGGCAATGCCAAGGCAAGTAACACCTGTGTCCTACCTTCCAGAAACTGAATCATCTAATCACAGTGTATCTATAAGAGAAAAGCTACATCTAAGTCAAATCTCAAGGGCACATAGGTCAACATCATAGGTAGTTCCCATCACCCCTTTCCAGTCCCAATACATATCTTCTGTAGCAGTTGCTACCCATGCAAATGATTAGCATAGTGAGTTATAAAGGGAGGACAGATCAAGGGAAGCAGGGACAAGACCACACCTGTAGGAAGACTTTCTCCAGATGTAATGAAAGGATGTGTGCAATTCTGAACATCTGTCCCCACAAACTGACATATCCCCATCTCCCTTCTACACCACTTTTGGAACCAAAGTACTAAGTATGTGTTAGGCTTATATGCATGCATACAAGTCCTTTGCTAGATCTCTCTCCCTTACCCCCACCTGCCCCTATCTTCCCTCTGAGGTTTGATGGTCTGATTGATGCTTCTCTGCCTCTGGATCTGTTTTTGTTGTATTCTTAAGTGAATAAAAAAATAAACATTCTTTCAGAAATTTTTGAAAAATAAACTTTATGTTAAAGGGCAAAATTATCATGTAAGGTATTATTTTTATTTTTATTATTTATTTTGTATTATTTTTTTATTGCTTAAAGTATTACAAAGGGTATTACATGTATCCATTTTTCCCCCCGCCCTTGACAGTCCCCTAGCCTCCCCTATCCTCCAGTGTCTTATGTCCATTGGTTATGCGTATATGTATGCATACAAGTCCTTTGGTTGATCTCTTACCCCCCTCCCTTCTGCCCCCCAACCCTCCCTGGCCTTCCCGCTGTAGTTTGACAATCTGTTTGAGGCAGCTCTGCCTCTGTATCTATTATTGTTCAAAAGTTTATACTGGTCTCTATGCTGGAGAGGAGGTATTATTTTTATTGAGTGCTGGTAATGTGTGATCCACTGTCCTAGGCCATAAGGATAACTATGACAATCATTAACTTCTCCCTTTTCACTTAAACAGAGAAGGGGGAATCATTACTCGAGTCTTAAGCATCTGTTGTGTGCTTGGCACCGTGCCCACTGCTGAGGCTCCAACTATGACTAAGGTAGGAGCTAACCAAACTTAGCACATTTCCAATTGTTGAAATCACTTGCAGACTAATGTGAAAACTCATGTGAAGTATAAGATACAAAAGTAACAGAAACAGCATTTACTAAAAATTGAACTGATATAGTTCCAACAACTCTTTTCCTCCAATATAAAGCTGTAAATTCCTAGCTGCCTAAACTATCTTAAGAAAAACCGACAGAGCTTTCAAATCCACTAGTTTATCACAATAGTTTGCATATTATATCAATCAATAAATTCATAGATCATCAATTCATCCATTTATCTTTTACATATTGACTACTATCTTCTCATTTATCTTCTCAACCACCTCATCCTCTTTTACCTGCACTTGACTCACAAGTGGAAAACCAGCTCTATGCCCCTCCCTAGCCCCTGGATACACACATGCCCCTGGATACACACATGCCCCTGGATACACACATGCCCCTGGATACACACATGCCCAAGGGCAGAGGATAATCACTGATGTTTATGGTGCTGCTATTGAGTAAAGAAGAAAAAGTTCATTTCAATTTTAAATGTTAAGAAAAATATATGATACATTTTATAAATATTTCTGTAACAAAAGTGGAGGAGTTATTTTTAAAGCACTGATAAATGAAGGTGTCAATTAGCAGGAGGGTTAAGGTGCATGGCTGGAATACTGCCTGCCAAGCCTATAAATGAAGCAGTACAATTCATACATGTGTGTGCCCAGTGATATATATGTGAGTAAAACATACATTTCTATAAACACAGATGTGCATATGATTCACTTTAGATCAAAACCCATCATTATTTTCTCAGTTTTAAGCTAAAAATAGATTTTAGTTAAATATAGGGTGATAAATAGCTTGCCATTTTAACTTTGAGAAAAGAAAAAAAAAGCCTACAGACTTTATTACAGAGCCAGAAGGGCCCTCAAATTCCATCAATAAACTTTCAGAAAGTCAATTTACTGCAACACTATTTTCATAGACTCATCTCTCTTTCTAAAATTTTCCTTTGGGCTTCAATTTTCCCCTTCGTGAACACCAACCCAAAGGCAAGTATCTGCAAATGACTTTTAGTTTTTCTCTTGTTCTTTTCTGGAAGGACTTAATCTCAAGAGTTCAAGAGAAAGGTAGGTGCCCCACTCACTCAGCTACTAGACAGGAAGCTCAACAGAAAGGTAGGTGACACTGTAGAATATCACACTTAAAGAGCACATCCCTCAGTTTCCACTTCAGACGACAGAAAAAGCCTGTTCTTATCATACACCAGAGATTAAGTTCAGAAGTATTAAATAATTAGTACCCTCAAAGGGTTCTGAATCTCTCAGAGGAAGTATTTTTTAAACAAAAAATAAAATCAAAATTGGATTGTTCAAGTTTCTAATTAATATGGGTGATCTGAACTACCTTAGTTTGAAAAAAATGATAGGAGTTATTTTTCTATTTAAATGCATATGATTACAAATTTTTATCAGAATCATTCATAGCTCAGTTGGAAAAAAAAATAGCTGATGGACAAAAGACCATCCCTCCCAAATTACTAATTGTATATTGTGATTGAATGTGATTTGCTATTAAATAGCTTCAGGCCCTGGCCAGGCTCAGTTGGCCGATTAGGGTATATACCTGGGTTTTGGGTTCAATCCCTAATCAGGTTGCCTATAGGAGGCAACTGATTGATGTTTCTCTCGTACATCAATGTTTCTCTCTCTTCCTCTCTCTAAAATCAATCTTTTTAAAAAACATATCTTCGGATGAGGATTTCAAAAATATAAATAACCACATAATGGCAGATAGGAAAACTATAAGCAAATTAAACTATTCCAAGAAAGCAACCCCTACCACCACAGCCCCAAAAACTTTCTGGCTGGGAACCATCCATGCAATTAGCAAAGAGCTCCTTCTAAATGTGTCTGATTTCAATATTTCAAGCCAGGAAAAGTTTGGTTGTTTTTTTAAAATAAGAATTAGAAGTGCTGACAGCTTATTAAACATTTGCTTTTTAATTAGAACTTCTGTTCCTGCACTTAGTAATAAATATGTACAACTATGTCCAAAATTTACAGCTACAGCTCATCTGGTTGATTTTATTGTCAAACTAAACTTGACGGAGGTAAGTTGAACTTTGACTTTAAATCTAGTAACTAATATATTCACCTCTATAACTCCAACAGCTGGCACAGTAACTGTCAAAGAGCAAGCTCATAAAAGTTTGTTCAATCAAACTGAGCTGAGAAATATCTGTCAAAGATAATATGCCCTTAGTAAGAAAATTTAACGGAAGAATGAAACATGAATGGCTGGCACAGTAATTTTCTACAGTTCTAAGAGCTCTTGGAAAATACAGAAAGAATAATGAATGATTCAAAGGGTATAAAAGTCAAAAACAATCAGGGTCTCAAATGACAGACCAAGTGTTGAAGACATTTAATACAAAATAAAGTGGAGCTAAAATCTAAGCTGAGGGGAAAACCAGAGAAAGAAAACAGTTACATGGGAAAAATTAAAAAGTAAAATAGTTAGGCAGCAAATAATACAAGGGGGTCGAGGTCGCTCTTTACACACCCAGAGACAAATATGGACACCAAAACCCAAGTCTGACATTTTCTCCTCCAGGAACTACAGTGTCCAAAAAAGCAAGACTAATTAATCAGGATGCATGCAATAAATTAAAGGATTATTTTCATATGTTGTATTGATTTTATCAGCCTCTAAGGTAATAAGGATTCTTTTTTTGAAAATAAAAAAAAAATCTACAAATATAATTTTGGCAAAAGCCCTTCCAAACATTTCACAGAACAAAGCCTCTGACTGTCCATTCATCCCTGTCCCCCCAACACACACACACACACACACACACACTGTAACCTTTGCTTCTTTCAACATTAATCCTGTATAGAATTTTAAATCCTAGTTTTTCCTTTCAACAGTAAACATTTGCCATTTCATTTTTAAATATCTTCAAAAGCATCATCAGTAATTGTATTTTTATGAAAGTAATAACACATACTCATGATAAATACACTCACTAGGCAGAGGGTATGGAATAAGCCCTTCTTTCCTATTCCCCACTCTCCATTTCCATTTCCCATAGGTAAGTCCTTTTTTCAGTGTTTCAGCATATCCTTTCAGGAATCTTCTACACGTCATTTATATCTACATATAAAGGATGCAGATTTAAATATATA